CCACTGGGAGTGATGCTAGTTCTTCTCTCTGTGCCTATCTCTCTCTCTCTGTCTATCTGCTCACACCCTCCCTCCCCAAACTGTGTGCACCTGCCAGGACCAGGGCGACACTGCCCCAGAAGTCCACCTGGACCAAGTTGCTGTCCCTTGTGTCTCTGGACTTTGGAGTGGCACAGTCAGTTCTATACTGGTGACCCAGGGCTGAAAAGTCTGAGCAGGACACGCCTCTTCTCAGGTGGCTCAACGGAAGCTGCTCTGTAGAATGTCTCGTCTAAGCACCTGGGAGGGTAGTCCAGGCTGAGGGAGGACCACCCAGGGACACTTGGGCTACAGCCGAGTCCTGCTGCTTCAAGTGGGATCCTCTCCCCTCCTGACCCACATAAGCCTTTGTCCCAGGCCCCTGGATGGGGTCTTGAGCTGCCTCCATAACTGGGCACAATCTAAAGTCCTACCTGGCCGTCTGCTAGTCCGTCCTACAGGACCACCATGGTGGGCAGCCAGCAAGCCACCAACACAGGTGAAGGGGAACTGGCCAGAAGGGCTCCAGTGATCTTTGGAGGCTCAAGTAATTCACACCTGCAAGTAGCTGGCATTCCTTCAACCATACCTGTCACCTCATGGGAAAACCCCAAACCAAGCCCACTGCCTTCAAGTTGGCTCTGACTCACAGCCACCCTGTAGGACCAAGCACACCTGCACCATGGGGTCCCTAAGACTGTCATCTTTACAGAAGCAGCCTGGCCCATAACTCTCCCACAGAGCAGCTGGTGGGTTTGAACTGTTGACCTGTCGGTTAGCTGCCAAGTACACCACTGGACGGCTCACAGGCAGTCCCCTAAAGCCAGTGATGGAGGAGGAGGGCAGTGGCCTGGGTTCAGGTTGCACCTCTGCTAACTCCAGATGGAGGAATGTGGTGAAAGCGCCATTTGGGAGAGGGGCCGCCCTGACCTCAGCCCTTGTCACCAGAGTACCTGGGAAGACGGGCGTGTTGGAATGAACACAGGACCAGGAGTTCTCATTGGGATGGGTCTTCTTTACCTTCTTCTCTGCCATGCCTACAAGTCCTGGTGATGCCATGGGCTAGGCACTGCTTGCTAACTACAAGGTTGGTGGTTCAAACTCACCAGCCGCTTTCTGTCTATTCTGGTAAAGATCTACAGTCTTGGAAGCCCTGAACAGGCAGCGGGCTTGCGTTTTGGTTTAATCTTCAGTGAAAGGAATCCTGGTAGCACTGTTGATTAGGCGATAGGCTGCTAATTGCAAGTTTGGTGGTTCAAAGCCACCAGCAGCTCTGTAAGAGAATGATGGGAGAAAGTCGGCTTCCATCTTGGAAACCCTATGTAGGGTTACGATGAGTTGGAATCAACTTGATGGCAGTGAATTTTGGGGTCCTGACATATATATTCATGTGTTTCCCCACCTGCTTTCTCAGATCCGTTCAACAGTGTATCCACACATAGGTGGAAGTGGTTATTGTTTGCAGGTCTGTGTAGTAACCGTATTTACTTTTGTTTGCTCTTACTCTCTGTCACATGGTGTCGCCCTCCCCTTATTGCATATTGTCTTTCCCTCACCCAAGTTAATACATGTTTACTCTCTAGTTATTGATTTTTACCTCCCTCTCCATCCCACCAAAAAAAAAAAAAAAAAAAGTTTCTTTCTGTATGCAAACTTTTTCTTGAGTTTTTACAACTCATACAATTGTGTCCTTTTGTGATTTGGCGTATTCCACTCAGCATGATGTCCTCCGGCTTCACCCATGTTCCTGGTGTTTCACAGATCTTCGTTACTATTAGCAATGTGGAAGTAGTTCATTGTGTGTTCGGACCATAGTTTGCTTGTTCATTCATCCATAGAGGGCACTTAGATGGTTTCCGTCTCTTTGTTGTTATGAACAGTGCTGTGATGACGCTAGGCTGGTTAATTCTTTACTTGTTGTTGTTGTTGTTAGGTGCCATAGGGTCGGTTCTGACTCAGAGACCTTATGCATAACAAAATGGAACACTGCCTGGTTCTGCACCAGCCTTGCCATGCTTCAACAGACTTCACTGTGCCAACCGTCTTGTTGGGAGTCTCCCTCTTTCTTGCTGATCCTCCACTTTACCAAGCATGATGGCCTTCTCTAGAGACTGGCCCCTCCTGACAACATGTCCAAAGTATGAGAGACATAGTCTGGTCATCCTGGCATCTAAGGAGCATTCTGGTTGTACTTCTTCCAAAATTGTTTGTTCTCCCTGCCGTCTTGATACTTTCAATATTCTCCTCCAAAGCCACAACTCAAATGCATCAATTCCTCTACTGTCTCCTTTTTCATTCTTTACTTTTGTTGTTGTTGTTAAGTGCCATTGAGTTGGTTCTGACCCATAGCAACCCTGTATAGGGTTTCCTGTTTCAAAAAGGCCAGGTCCTCATCCATTGACCTTGTTCTGTGGGGCAAGGAGCTCTGGTAGAGTAGTAGTTACGAGTTGGTCTGTTAACCTCATGGTCAGCAGTTTGAAATTACCAGCTGTCCCGCAGGAGAAAGATGAGGCTTTCTGCTCCCGTAAAGATTTGTAGCCTCGGAAACACTATTCAGGGTGTCTATGAGTCGAAACTGACTCCACAG